GGCTGCTTTCCCGGCGCCGCTGAGCAGGCCAGATCGAGGACCCGTCGAGGGCAGGGCCGGGGCGGAGGGGTTGCCCGTCTGGTGCAACCCGAGTTTAAGTTCACTGGCCTTATTCCAGCGCCTTTCAGTCGGTGAAACTGGGCTAATACTTTATGCTCTGTTTTTGCGTTCACATACTACTCCAGGTTGGAAAGCTCTTGAGAAGTCGTTTCTTTTGTTGTTTGTTTTTTAAAAACCTTTTCCCGCCTGAGGTTTCCAGGTGCCTGCGCGGCTGTGGTGCGGACCCAGCGGGAGGGCGGGAGGCTTGGTTTGTTTGCTGCGTCCGGAGGTTGTGGTTATGCCGCCTGGGACGCGTGTCCTTAACGGTATTTGAACCACGGCTGTCACTTGCCTTTTTAGAGGTTGTGGTTGTGATTCGTGGCTCTGACCACTGGCCGAGACACCGCGTCCTACTTTCATAACTGAAAACGGGCACCTGGCCTACGAGTTGGCGTGTTTATGGGGCGAAAGGCTGGTAGATGGGCAAGCTTGCCTTCCTGGTTCCAGAAGGTGCGGCAATCAGACGAGTATGGCAATGGAGCCAGTGGTACTCTTGTGCTGGTGGAGGGTCTTGCTTTTAATTTGTAAAAGCTGCCAACATCTGCGAGGCGCAATTAAGCGAAGCCCAATAGAAGGAGATACACCTGTATTTGAAATCCTTGCAAACCCTGGATGTGTGGTAGCCGCCACTGGCTAATCCATGCAGGAAATGTGTTGCGATTTTGCAATAATTTCAAAAATAATTTCCACCTAAGCTTCTTCTCGGCATCTATTTTTCTAGAATAGCAATTTTCAACCCATATACCGCAAGAATTTTTAAAACATGCAATACCTAACTATGAAGGCAGGGACACTGACCTGTTTTCCCTTAAGATTGTCAAGTTAAAAGATGACAACAGCCAACACAACAATAGCCATCCAGTGTGGATGAATCAAAATCATATCTATTTTTTTGGCACATCAGCAAAAATTATATTTTTTGGTGTGCTGCAGAATTTTAGTAATTAGTTTATGTGTACGATGAGATGAAAAAGGCTGAAAATCTCAGTTCTAGATTATCCCCCCCACCCAATCTTCAAAGCATAGCAATTTTGGCAGATGCTTCCGTTATTTCTTTTCCCATAAAGCAGGCGATCTTTTGGCCCTGACAAGCTTCATTCCTGGCTGGAGACTAGTCACTATTGCCAAATCCTGCCCTGTGCTCTGTCAGCTTTGACGATTTTCAGCCTTCCAGTCCCCACCTGCGTTTAAAATAACAGACCCCCTCCACCTAATGAGATTATAGGACTGCTCTCTTATAGTAACTAATAATTTGATCCCAGTGTGAATGCTGTCATGGGCACTATTGGCATTTGACGCTGGATAATTTGTTGTGGGGTTCTGTCCTGGGTATTGGAAGATACTTAGCAGCATCGCTGGCCTCTGTCCATTAGGGGCCAGTGGTACTCCTCCTCCCAGTGATGACAAACAAAAGTATCTCCAGACATTGCCATATGTCTCCTAGGGGACAAAATCACCCCCAGTTGAGAACAACTGCTTTAACTCAGTTTTCTGTATTCTGGGCTCAGTACTTGCTGTGATTGATGAAATAGGGGAGAGAATTTATCTCCACACTGAATACAAACAAATGAGCCTAAGTCACCTTCCGGAAGTGGCCAGGTACAGATCTGTCCTTTCTTTTGTGTTAGCCAGAAATAACCTGGCTGATCCTAAGGCATTGCAACCAATGGTTTCACCTGGAGGTTTGGCCAAAAGCAGGCAGGCAATGGTGTGTTGATTAGATTAAACTGGAAAAGGGGCTCCTTTCTCTCCAGCCTGTCCTTTTTTTCCCTCTACTGAGTGCCCAGGGGCTCTGTAGTCCAAGTGAAAAACTTTTGACATAAAAATGACCATTATTAGTCTGCAAAGTTTACCAAATTCAGCTGAACATATATAGGATGACTTTATATGGCTGGTTACTACATTTTGACCAAATGAATAATTGAAGTATTTTTCCTGTTCAATAAAATTGAGTTCCCCCTTTCCAGTGCGTTGATGGGTTTCTCCTTTTTGATATTTCAGGGCATATTTTATTTTTTTCAAATATATTTTTATTGATTTCAGAGAGGACGGGAGAGGAAGAGAAAGATAGAAACATCAATGATGAGAGAGAATCATTGATTGGCTGCCTCCTGCACGCCCCCCCACTGGGGATCAAGCCCACAACCCTTGACCGGAATGGAACCTGGGACCTTTCAATCTGAAGGCCAAAGCTCTATCCACTGAGCCAAATCGGCTTGGGCTCAGGGAATGTTTTATATTTCCTCATTTAGCAGCTTTGGTTTTATTTATTTAAATCCTCACCCGAGGATATTTTTTCTATTGATTTTCAGAGTGGAAGTGGGAGAGACACACACAATGATTGGTTGCTTCCTGCACCCCATGCAGGGGTGGAACCCAAAACTAAGATACATGCCCCTGACTGGGAATCAAACCCGGGACCCTTCAGTCCATGGGCCGAAGCTCTAACCACTGAGATAAACCAGCCAGGGCAGCATCTCTGGCTTTAAAAGTTACATTTAAATACAGGAATTGATCTGGGCTATTTCTCACTGACTGATGAAATCCCATGGAAAGCATCTGGGATTGGTCAACTTCGCTCTTGTAACCTCAGCTTCTACAGTTACAACTGATAGAGTAACTTAGGGCTTTTGACTCCAAATCTAGGGCTCTTTCTATATGACCACACTGTACTCAGTAGAAAGATTTTTGTCAGCCAGAACACTGGGACTGTCCTGTGAAGAATTGTGAGAAAAATTACACAACTAAGTGATACACAATGATTTTTTAAATAGAGAACAGCTGCTTTAACTCACTCTGTCCTTTGAAATTTGTTCTGTTTAAAGAAACAATAAGCAGCCTATAACCAGTTTTGAAATAGTAAAAAATATATATCAATGGATTTATTATTTAATAAATTTAGTGGATTTATTTTGATGCAAGTAAATGAATTTAATAATACTAAAACTTCCTGATATGTTAAGTGTCAGCTATGCATGAAATTCTTTCGTTTTATTAAAACATGATCTATGTAAAAATGCTTATGATAAAATGTTAAGGGGGCGGAAAGGATACTAAATCATGACTATAATATACAACTGTGTAAAAAACTGTTACCAAGGGGAAGGAGGGTCAGGAAGGATGAAGAGGGCAAAGGGGGTCAAATATGTGATGACTAAAGGAAACTAGACTTTGGGTGGTGAGTACACGATGGGGTATTAAAGATGTGTGATAAAGTTGTACAGCTGAAATTAATATAATTTATTAACCCTTGTTACCACAATACATGTGCTTAGAAAGGAGGATTAGCCCGAGTTAGAATTGTTCGCGCGATTGTCTTTTTGTGAAGGAAATATCAATAATTACTGTTTCTCCTTCCATGTTTATATATTTTCTAAGGTTTCTATGATGGGTTTATAATTCTTTAATCATAGAAAACATTGTTTTAATCCTTAGTCACAAACTTACATATTTTATGTAAATACTCTTAATGAGAATAAATGTTGTTATTTTTTAATTTATAAATGTTTCCATAGTTCTAGAACTTTAAAAATTTTATTTAAGAAGCTGCATAATGTAAAATTTCTGGAAGTGTACATAAGAAGCTATTAACAGTAATTACCTCTGGGGACAGGGACCTGCCCTTACATGTTACGCTTTTGTACTTTTACCATGTGCATTTACTCTTCTAATAAATAAATAGTTATATTTTTAATAATCATGATATGTTACTGACTCATACTTTACTAAAATAGTAAATGTGTAGCTTATTTAATAATCTCCATATTGATAGACACTTTTAAGCCAATCCTAAATTGTTATATATCTCAAGGCTATATAAGTTCATTGGCTACCTATTGCTATTTTGAATTTATAATGCCATCATAGAAATGTAAGTGTATGCTTTCACCCATAGTATCATCAGTGTTGGGTGTTGAAAATGATTACAGTGTTTGGATACTATGATAGAGGTGGATAACAGAGAACAGTCAACTATCTGTATAACTTTTTTTGTTTGTAGTTTTACCATTTATGTGAATCCAGAAAAGCATGTAAAAACTTTCAAAACCCTTCTCCCCCATTTTTAATTTCTTGAATAAATAGAATCAAGCTATCGAAGTAGCATGGGGTCACCAGCCTGCATTCTTGAGCTGGGTGGAAGGCAGGCATTTTAGTGATCAAGGTGAAAATGTGGCTGAAATTAACAGACAAGTTGGTCAGAAACTTGGACTCTCAAATGGGGAACAGGTAAGCACAAAATGTGATGACAACGACTTTCTTCTAATATCACATAATATAGCGATGGAAATAAAATGTAAAGTTTAGATTTTTTTTTAAACGAGGAGAGATGACAACTTGTATTCTACTATAATTAGTCAATCGATCAGCTGCCTCCTGAACACCCCCCACTGGAGATGTGCCCGCAACCAAGGCACATGCCCCTGACCGGAATCGAACCTGGGACCCCTAAGTCCGCAGGCCGACGCTCTATCCACTGAGCCAAACCGGTTTCGGCTACAGTGTACTCTATTTTAAAGTCACTATCTTGTAGTCTACTGTGCTCTCTAGTTGATTTTGTATTCTATTTTACTCTCCAGGTTCCCTAATTTTGTTTTTGTGCAGTTATTTTTGCTTTATAAAATGAATAGTTGCAAATGGTATTTATATACTGGATCAGGTCACGACTTGATGACACTGTTGTTTCTTCTTGCATTTTTTTAACTTACATTAATTTTTAAAAAGTGCTTTTTATTTTAGTTTTTAAAAGATGTGTTGAACTAGGATGTATTTTCCTTTTTGCTATAATTTATTATGAAATAATTTTTCCTAAAATGCTGAGTATATCAAGGCCTGGCTAAAATAAGTATTAATATTGGTCAAGTGAAGGACTACACACACACACACACACACACACACACACACACACACACACTCACACACTCACACTCACATACTCACACACTCTCTCTCTCTCTATTACATACCTAAAGGGAGAACTTATTTTTCAGGGATAAAAAAATGTGTTTTAAAAGTAGTTTTATATTTTTAATCTTTTCCAGGTGTTTCTCAAGCCATGTTCCCACGTGGTGTCTTGTCAACAAGTTGAGGTGGAACCTCTCTCAGCAGATGATTGGGAGATACTGGTAAAGAATATAAAATAAGAACTATTCTAGTTTAATATTAAGCTACTTCACAATATCTGTGTCTTTAGATTTCTCTGAGCTTCATCCTATATTCTGAGTTGGTTTGAGTTATAGGAATGACTTGAGATTTTCCTACTAGATATGGAGTAGACAAAATGTAAAGTGAGTTGATCTTTTTGTTGTTGGTTCTAGGAACTGCATGCTGCTTCTCTGGAACAGCATCTTCTAGATCAAATTCGAATAGTTTTTCCAAAAGCCATTTTTCCTGTTTGGGTTGATCAACAAACTTACATATTTATCCAAATTGGTAGGTGCCATCATACTGTACGACACAATATTGAGTCCAAAGCAGAGGTGAACATGCACTAATGAGCTTTATTTTCTATGCAGTTGCACTCATACCAGCTGCTACTTACGGAAGGTTGGAGAATGACACCAGACTCCTCATTCAGCCAAAGACCCGCCAAGCCAAAGAGAGTACATTTTCAAAAGCAGATAATACACGTGAAACATTTCACAATTATGGAAGAGATCATAAAGGATTGGCAAAAGAACTCCAAACCAAGCAACTTCAGTCAAATACTAGAAGAGTCACTGGGTGTAATGAAACAGATCCCGAGGATACAATGGACTCACCATCAGTCCCAAGCTTATGGTCTATGATAGGAAGCATCTTTTCTTTTGGGTCTGAGAAGAAACAAGAGACCTACTGGGGTGTAACTGAAATCAATGCATTCAAAAATATGCAGTCACATGTTGTTCCTCTAGGAAATATTTTCAGAGTGTGCAAATCTCAGCCTCCCAGCATATGCAACGCATCAGCAACGTCTGTGTTTCACAAACACTCTGCCATTCATGTATTTCCATGGGACCAAGAATATTTTGATGCAGAGCCCAGCTTTACTGTGACCTATGGAAACCTAGTTCAACTGCTTTCTCCAAAGCAACAGCAAAGTAAAACAAAGCAAAATGTCCTGTCACCTGAAAAAGAGAAGCAGGCGTCAGAACCATTAGATCAAAAACAAGTTAGCCCAGACCATAGTGAAGTAGCGGGTAAGACCTGTGTGCTAAAGGTAGTCTGGAATGGACTTGAGGAATTGAAGAATGCTATAAAATACACCAAAAATGTAGAAGCTCTTCATCTTGGGAAAGTTTGGGTTAGTATAAATTTTATAATTAGGGAGGAAATAATTATATGTTGTTTGAACTTCCCCAAATTATGAATTAGAATGATGTTTTATATATTAATTGAAAACCAGTATAATAAAAAGTATCTAAAATCCCTGCAGGGACACATTCTGATTGTAGGGTGAAGTCCTTGTTTGGGTAATGATTGTGTATTTTCTGCCTAAGTAAACGTTGACAGTAAAATCTTAGGCACAGGCCCAGAGAGGTCAAAATTACTTGCCAGGGATTAAAGAGCTAGTAAGTAGAACCAGGAGTCAAACCCAGGCAGGGTGACTCTAGAGTTCATGCTTAGATTGGGTTGCCCTATAAAGCCTTACATCTGTAATACCTGCAAATGTTTGTTTCTAAGTTCTTAAAAGCAAAGAAAGAATTTGTTATGTATTGGGGGGAATGCCCAGTGTAAGGAGAGGCCCATGGCTGCCTCTGACAGCACCTGGATTGGAATGTACCCAGAAGCTGCTTACTTTGTTGGTATCGACTCTTTCACTTGTGTGTGACAGGAGAGAAAGTAGACAGAGCAGCTAGTGTCCCACCCTCTCTTCCTGGCCTCAAATATGAATGCTGCACTTATGTGAAATGAGTCACGAGCCCCATTTATTTGAACCTAATTTTGAACCATTATTGTAAAGTAAAACTTTATGGTGAAAAAGGGGAGAAATTATTAAGATAGTGAAGAAAAGTAGGAAGGGGTGGGGGCTTCCATTGTAGATTTCTTTTACTCTCACAGTGGAACCTATGATCATTATGCAGGCAACTTACAAAATTTTAATCTCTGATCTACATCATTTTCTAAAGCGCTGGACCATTGCCTCATTATTTTCTGTTAGCTCGAAACTCAGTTTAGAGACCCCACTGCATTGTCCAAGGCTGAACTTGTTATGACTTATCACCTTCATTAATGGTTCTGCCATGAAGTGTGAATACCCTCTTATTTCCTTGAAATCGTGTGATGAGAACGGGGTGAAGGAGTGATGATGGTAAAGTCTTGGGGACCACAGAAGAGAGCAGTGAGGAGTGTGTACTTCGCACCCTATTTTAAAGCTTGGGAGCCATGGCCAATAAGAATGCAAGTAGTTGCCATCAGGTATTCAAACAGGCTTGACTTGATAGGTCGACATTGAGCACGTTCTGAAGAGGTTGTTGAAAGAAATGTAGGAGGAAATTGAAATGTTTGTGATATAACAATACCTGAATATCTGTTTATACTATGAATCATGATAATATATAATTTCACCTGAATTCATAAAAGTTAATATGAATATCTATGCTATGGAATATTTTTTAATCAAGCATTAAACATAATTATATTTTTGTTTATTTTATAATTTCAGATTCCAGATGACCTGAGAAAGAGACTAAATATAGAAATGCATGCAGTAGTCAGGATAACTCCAGTGGAAATGATCCCTAAAATCCCAAGATCTCTAAAATTACAACCTAGAGAAAACTTAGTAAGTTAAAATTTATATGTTACTAGTATATCACAATTGTTTTAGATGTATTGTAAAATTTCTAGTTGCTGCCCTAACTGGTTTGGCTCAGTGGATAGAGCGTCAGCCTGCGAACTCAAGGGTCCCAGGTTCAATTCCGGTCAAGGGCATGTACCTTGGTTGCGGGCACATCCCCAGTAGGGAGTGTGCAGGAGGCAGCTGATCGATGTTTCTCTCTCGTCGATGTTTCTGACTCTCTATCCCTCTCCCTTCCTCTCTGTAAAAAAATCAATAAAATATATTAAAAAAATTTTTTCTAGTTGTTTTAACTAAAGAATAATAATGCAGTACTCCTTTTTGTTAAAAGGGCAAATAAATCCCCCACCCTTTATCATAGTAAAATAGGTGTAACATAAAAATGCTGTTTTATCATTTTTAGGTGTACAGTTCAGTGGCATTCCATTCATAATGTTGTGCAGCCATCATCACTATCTATTTCAAAAACTTTTCCATCACCCAAACAGAAACTCTGTGCTCATTAAGCAGTAACTCCCTACCCTCATATCCCCCAGATCCTAGTACCTCTCATCTATAGTCTCTGTGAATTTGCTTATTTTAGATATGTCATATAAATGGAATCACATAATATTTATCCTTTGTGTCTGGCTTATTTTACTTACATGTTTTCAAGGTTCATCCATGTTGTAGCATATATCGAACTTGATCCCTTTTTATGGCTAAATTGTATATATATATATATATATATCACATTTGGTTTATTCATTGAGCAGGTTTTTTTGTTTTGTTTTTTTGTGTTTTGTTTTATCCATTGATCTTTTGGTGGATACTTAGATTGTTTCCACCTTTTTGGCTATTGTGAATAATGCTATGAATGTTGGTGTACAAGCATCTGTTTGAGTCCCTGCTTTCAATTCTTTTGGTATATATCTAGGAATTGAATTGCTAGATCATGTGTAATTCTGTGAGTAACTTTCTGAGAAACAAAGAGTCTTTAATAAATAGTACACTTATATATGTTGTGCCAATACAAATATGATCAGTTTTGGCTTTTAAAAAGTTGACATTTTTGCCACATTTATGTAATTTAAAACACTTTCTCCCATGTTGTTTTAGTATTAATCTTTCAGCCTCAAAGAGTGCTAGACTGTTTTACTTTTCTACTCTGTTAATTCTTTAGAAACTGGTGTCTGCCGGTAGAATGTGAACATCTTCCTGGTTTTGTTTGGTAAGGTGTACATTTTATTAGCAAGATAAGGTGTAAAAAGAAGGATGTTAAGGTTAAGGTCAGCTATTAGTATAATTTATTACTTTTCTTTTCTTTTTTTCAGCCTAAAGACATAAGTGAAGAAAACATAAAAACTGTGTTCTCTTCATGGCTACAGCAGTCTACTACAACCACACTTCCTTTGATAATATCAGAGGAAGACTATATTAAGCTGGAAATTAAAGATGGTGTGTAAATTTGTTATTTTGATATTTTTCCTATTGAAGAAGTCATAAAATTTTTTCATTGTTTTCCCAACTTGTGACACGTGTGAACAGGAAACATAACAGTGGTAATTAAACAGATTTTACATACCAAAGAATGCCTCTAGTTATATATAGATAAATTTGATATTTAAAATCTTATAGTGTTTCATCTCAGCTTCAGTACTATACATTTATTACTTTCTTTTCCATAGGATTGAAGGAGTTTTCTCTGAATATAGTTCATTCTTGGGAAAAAGAAAAAGAAAAGAATATTTTTCTGTTGAGTACTAATCTGCTGCAGAAGATCACAATACAAGTAATTACAACCTATTGAACATTCAATGAAATGATATGAGTTTGTAACTCCTTGCATGCTAAAGTGTATTAGAAGCGCAAATGATAAAATAAGGAATAACTTGATTTAAAATATTTTATTCTATAATCTCTTTAACTTACCTAATAAATTGTTGATTTATCCTAAATTTAAAATCAATTCCTCAGCATAGTTTAATTTCAGGAGTAGAGTTGATGGTGTTAACTGGTAAATGATTTAAAATTCTTCCTGTATTTGAAACAAAGGAAAACTTAGCTTTAGTGGTTTGAGTTTTAAAATTCAGATTTTTACTTGCAGTTTTGCTGCACAATTCATATTATCATGGCGATTCGTAAATTCTCAGCTCTTTACAAATATCACTTTTCTTCCAGAAGTATTTTTAAAGTGGTTATTTTAGACTGTTATGTTTTAGTTAGGATACTTGCTGTCGTCATTGCAAAATTGAAGATGCTGAAGTCATTTAGAATTTCAGTGGTTTGGAAGTAGACACCGTTTCTCTACTTTTAAAATTTAATTGAAGGAATATGATTTAGAGACAATACAAATAAATGTAAGAATTGTGAAAAGATTATATGACACAAATCAAATTTGCAAATAAAGATAGGTCTATAAAATGCATGAAGGAGTAACATTCTTTACTGCTTGTTGATCATAAATATTTGTGTTCCTTGGATGAGTAAATTATTGTTGTCAAGGCTATTTTAAATAATGATCTTGCATGCACACTATATCTTCTCTCTCTGGTGTAACAATCAGCAATTCAGTTTTCTGGGACCCAAGAAAAACAGGCGAAAGATACAGCTTTGAAATGTAAAACTGATTTTTCCTTGCTACTATAGGTCCTTCTAGATCCTATGCTAAAAGAAGAAAACAGTGAGGAAATTGACTTTATTCTTCCTTTTTTAAAGCTGAACTGCTTGGGGTAAGAAGTTATGGCCAAACTAGCATGTTTAGAGGCATGTTCAACATTATATCTAGCAGGGTTTTTATGTGTTAGTATTAAAGTAGATGTTAATGTCATTGAATAATCTTACTAATGCATTAGTAGGTATTTTTTCAAGGATTATTTCTGTTTTCACACCTAGCTTAGTAATTTGCCTTGTCTTCTTAGATAAAGTCTGAAGCTTATTAGAAATTTTTCTTTGAGATTTGATTGTGAGAAGAAAGCAACTAGATTTGACCTGGTTTTATGTATGCTAGAATAAAACAATAATTCTTAGAGCTAATAAATTTATTGTGAAAGTTAAATTTGAAAACGTTAGTTGAATGTTTAAAAATATTTCAAATTAAGTTATTCCTTTAGTATCTTAATAATGTATTAATTGGGAGTATTTGTGTTTTCTTCAACTTTTAGACAAATCTGAAAGAACCTCTTAATTTTTTAAATCACTTATACAGTATGAAATCACATATAAACATTACCTCTTAGAATTCTTCACAGAGGGTTTTTTAGTAGAGGTAATAGTAGTGATTTGATTTCCTTTAATAGTATAGTCTGTAAATGTTTTATTAAAATAATTAAACCATAAAGTAATAATATTTAAATATAGCATGATATTCATGTATAAAGGAAAATTTCTTTAGTTCAGTCTCTAATTTAGGAATTTCTGATATTATCAGAAGTAAATTGGCAGTCAGAGACAGGAAGTAGGTTGAAGTTTATGTTTTGTAATCTACAGATCAAAGCTGGATTTCAAAGGCAGTTTTTAAGAGGAAATAAGTCTTCAAGTATCCTATACCATTTCAAAAGCACCCATTTGTGATTATGTTGATTACCAAACTGAAAATCATTTTGAGGGAGTTATTTGTATATGTTAAGACAGATTCCTTAAGGAGTCCTATTTGGACAAACTTAGTTTTGCACATGTTTGAAAGTAAAAAACTAGTTTTAAAGCTGCACCTCAGATTTGGCATTAATTTAATATACTTTCAAGTAAAGAAGAGCAAGATGTTCCTCTTTTAAAAATCATTATCCTAGGAAGGAAAGTTTTGTAATTTTTTATAGCTAGATTTTATTCTGCTTCTGTGCTTTATCATGCAACAATTTACATATTTTGCAGAGGAGTGAATTCCTTAGGTGTATCCTCCATGGAGCACATCACTCATAGTCTCCTGGGACGCCCTTTGTCTCGGCAGCTAATGTCCCTTGTGGCTGGACTTAGGAATGGAGCCGTTTTACTCACAGGAGGAAAGGTATGAGGTTAAAATATGCTCATTTTCATTAATAACTTTTAATTCCTCTCTGAGTTCTGACCATCCGTTATATAGGGTTACTAGAGGACCGGTGCACACGGATTTATGCACTGGTGGGGTCCCTTGGCTGGCCTGTGGGGACTGGGCCGAAACCAGCTCTCTGACATCCTCTGAGGGTGCTGGATTATAAGGGGCACAGGTCAGGCTGAGGGACCCCACTGGTGCACGATCAGGGCTGGGGAGAGACTGCGGGAGGGCTCCAGGGCATGTCTGGCCTGTCTCACCCAGTCCCGATCTGCCAGACCCCAGCAGCAAGCTAACCTACTGGTCAAAGCGTCTGCCCCCTGGTGGTCAGTGTGCATCTTAGCGACTGGTGAAACGGTTGGACACTTAGCATATTAAGCTTTTATTATATAGGATTAATACAAGATATGGAAAGCATTCATTCATTCAATATTTTTGAGGGCCTATTAATAGATATTGGAAAGTGGTGATGAATAAGGTATCTAAGTTCATGAGAGATATTAGCCTATAATTTTCTGTTTTCGTACAGAATATTTCTTTGTCTGGTTTTGCTGTCAGGGTAATAAAGAATTGAGAGGTGTTTTCCTACCATTCTATTTTCTGGAAGAGGTTATATGAAATTGGTGTTCATTGTTCTTTAAATTGTAAAAACTCCAATAAAACCATCTGGACCTGGAGATTTTCTTATTGTCAACTTTTTAATTGTAAATTCAATTTTCCTTATTTGTCTATTTTTATCTTGGCAGACATTTGGTAGTTTGTCGTTTTTGAGGAATTGTTCTATTCTAAGTTGTCGAATTTATGAGTATGAAATTGTTCTCAGTATTGTCTTGTCCTCTTAATGACTGTGGAATCTGCTGTGAAGTCCTGTTTTCTGGTATTGGTGCTTTGTGTCTTCTCTCTTTTTAAACCTTGTCAATCTTGTTAGAGGGTCCCTGACCTTTTAAAGGGCTTATAGTTTATTTTCTACTAAAAGTATTGTCACCAGGGGTATAGTTTGTTCTTTGTGAGTCTTTATGCTTTTTTGCAGTTCAAAATTTTAAGGCTTTTAAAATTTCTGTTCACTTTTAACTCTAGTATAACCTTTTTTCCTATTACTAGCCCAGCTGCTTTCTTCTGATTTTTGTACAAAATATAGCAACTACTCCAGTAATCTACGTTTCTAACTCAGGAAACTAGAAAAGAAGAATAAATGAAATTCAGTGTAAGCAGAAGAAAATAAATAATAATTAGAGCAGAAATCAATGAATTGAAAACAGGAAATCAATAGAGAAAATATATGAAAGAAAAATACCTGGTTCTCTGAAAAGACCAATGAAATTGATAAGCCTCTAGCCAAGCTAAGAAAAAATAAAAAGAGAGATGATTTAATGTATAGCACGGTGATAATAGTTAACAGTACTGTATTATATACCTAAAAGTTGCTAAGAGAGTAGATCTTAAATGTTATCACCACAAAAAAGAAATGGTAATTACATGAGATGATGGAGGCATTAATTAACCCTAATGGGGTAGTCAGTTCCCAGTAAGTATACTAAATCATCATGTTGTATAACTTACCAAAAGTTATATGGCAATTATAGCTCAATAAAACTGGAAAAAGAAGAGAAAAAAGTATTTTGAATTTATCATAAGAACAAGAAAAGGCCATGATAAAATTTGCATTATTTAAGTTGAAGTGGCACACACAGAAAACAATGTGCACAAATTGTAAATCAAATGGATTGTTACAAAGTAAACCTCCTGTGTAATAGCCTAATAAAAAAATAGCAAACATACA